GATGGAGTCAGGAGGTGGCCATAGAAATTCCTAAACGAAACAGTGGAAACTTATCGAGTTTGGGTTTGCTGGATTTGTCTTTTCGAGCACTTATTGTAATTGAACCAAGGCTCTGAGATTGAGATACGCTAATAAAAAGTGTAAAATAAAATTATAATAATTAAAAAACTTTTTTAAAAACAAGCTTTTATTCTGAAATGCAGTTGTACTAAAATGAAAAAAATAATTGTACAGTCGCAGAATGAAAAGGTTTGTCACCTTAGTGTCGGTTTTCGCTTGCACTAATAGGTACTGTGAGAGTCAAACCTGCCAACATAACAGCAAGAAACAGTGCTGCTAACATGTAAATAAATATGACGTTTGCTAACGATTAAGGTTTTGCTTGTTTATTTTTCTATCCCATCAGTGCAATGCAATGATGACATTGACCAATTGACAATAGTTTTTTTTATTTAAAAGAAATAATATAGATGACCCACGCTGAACTGTCCCACCAAACTCAATGACAGGGGGGCGCTACCATCGTTCAACTACCTTTTGTACCCTTTGCACCACCGGCCTGCACCACTGGTGGTGCAAAGGGTATTTTTTAATCCCCTTTACACCACCAATAGTGCCGCGCTACCATTAACTGTAAAACGATTATCTATAATTATAATTTATATAATATTAATATTATAAAGAGGAAATATTTGATTGTTTGTTTGTACTGAATAGGCTCCGAAACTACTGGACAGATTTGACAACATATTTTCACTATTAAAATCCAAATAGTTTTCTGAGTAACAAGGGCTATTAAATATTTTCAAAAGAGTTACTAAAAATTATGTATTAAAGTACCAGGGCAACATAATCATAAAGGAGCTATATCAAATTCTTCTTGGTTGTCCCGAGAAATAATCATGTATCTTAAAATAGCTCATTTATGGTTATGTTGCTCTGGTACCTACTAATTATTCGTTGTATGTATGTAGGCCCGGGGTATCGTGGGTCTGAAGTGAAATGTTTATAGGCACGTGTTAAGTTTTTCATATTATTTTATTCTTAAGTCATTCAAGTATTTGTGACTTGTAGTCATCATTTCATGTTGATGAGGTGATGATGAAAGGTAAACAACTCCTAAACGCTGTTCCATGCATACAGCCACGCCTCACACATCATGTTATTAGGTGACGCTTCAATTTCCCGCCAAGAATTCCCCTTGAAGTTTCAATGAGTTTATTACACTGCAATAAATAAATTAAAACTTTTAGGTAGGTTTTGATTAATTTATAACATGTATACAGTCTACTACTAGTTTTACAGTCGATGGTAGCACAGCACTATTTGTTGGTGGTGCAAGAGGGATTTAAAAATACCCTTTGCACCACCAGTGGTGCAGGCCGGTGGTGCAAAGGGTACAAAAGGGTTCAACTATATGGTTTCCAACATGGCAAAAATCTGAACCAGCGATCCGGTATTGACGGTGGCGCCCCACTGTCAATGTCATCGACAGGACAATCCAGTATTTTGGAACTATAATGGCGGTTTGAACCAACAAGAAGGTTTTAGTTTATCAATCATAATAATCTTCTTGACAAGATAAATCGTCAAACAACTTTGATCTGAATAATTTTGAACTTTACTGACGAACAGTTAAAGATTATTTTCTCTAACTCGAGATTATTCTGTAACATAGTTTCAAAAGGTAATATGTGCTCGCGATTCGTTGAAGGAATCAATTTGAAAACTGACGAACCTTTTCATTCCGTGACTGTACTTATGCAAGGTTCAAATAAATTCGAAAGCTTGTAACTAGAGATGAAACGGATATCCGGTAACTATCCGGTAAGCCGGATATCCGGCCTAAATTTACTATCCGGCCGGATACCGGATAGTAACTCACTATCCGGCCGGATACCGGATATTAAAAAACTACGACAATTTCCTATTAATAAAATGAAATACATTAAATCTTTGAGGTAAATAAATATCAATAAAATGGCTTATAATAATGACGGCTTTTATTTAAAGTCCAAAAAGTTACAAAAAAGCCATATTAAGGCCTTTCAAAAAACTAATTTCTTTTTCTGGGCTATTATCTCTAATGATTCGACATAAATGGTAAATGTCTGTTAATGTCAAAATATTGCCAAATAAATTTTTGCTATTCAATCACACACTCACGATGGCAACCAAAATCGCCCGAATTAATCTGCCCCTTAGACAAGTGGCAAAATCTGACATTCTATTCGGATGAATTCGATTTTCGAAAAGTGACTAGTCTAGTCTACTAATAGACCCACTGATCGCGTTCGAAATACCTATGCGGCGCTAAACTCGTCACGACATGCAACGAGACAATGGGCCAACTATCCGGCCGCCGGATATCCGGCTATCCGGCCTAGCAGCTGGCCGGATATCCGGTATCCGGTATCCGGCCAAACAACTATCCGTTTCATCACTACTTGTAACGCAAACAAAAAAAATTGGCCAAGTGCGTGTCGTGCCACGCCCAGTGTAGGGTTCCGTAGTGGTCCGTCGTTACCACAGTATACTTCAGAACTTCATCTACAGTCACATTTCATATTTTCTTCTAAGGATTTTTCACTAGTTAAGAAATTTTGTAATACATGAGTTAAATGATTATTACTCTCAAACTAATTGATGTATCTTAACCGCTATAGTTTTCCTTGAAAGTTCATGAATAGCAGTATTATCACGAATTTTTCCAGATTTTTCAAGCCAACAGTTTAGTTTTTAGAGGGGGGGACGCCCTACTCGAACAAAAATTGGCACTTTAAACTTTAATAATTTGCAAACAAACCCCTGAATGGAAAAAAGTCTTAGGAACCCCTAAGCCATTTTTAAGACCTATCCAACGATACCCCACACAATGAGGTCGAAGATGAAAAAAAATTCATGTAGGGAAGCTACCCTAAAAAAATTTTTTTTTAAATTTTATTCTACCGTTTTGTCGGCGTGATTAATATACATATCTCTACAAAATTACAGCTCCCTAGTGCCAATATTTTCCAAGCAAAACCTCGGACAGACACAGACAGACATATCGAAACTATAAGGGTTCCTTGTGAGGACTACGGAACCCTGAAAAAGAGGAATAAATTCCATGCGCGATACAAGCTTTCGAAATTATTTGAACCTTGCATACAATTATTTTTTTCGTTTTATTATAATGTGTTAACGGATTAACGATTAACGTTAACTTGCGTTAAATCTTGTGAAATGTTACGTTTTAACGTTTAACGAAGTTAATTTTTTTATTAACGGTTTAACGATTAACGAAGTTAACTATTTGATTAACGGTGCCCAGCTATGATTACAGGTACGCAAACTGGGCATTATGGAACGAATCACATGTCCCACAAAATGGGCCTAACAACAGCATGTGGAATACAATGTGGAGTCCATGAAACACTAATACTGTAAGGATGGGTCTGCTTGGGTCAGCATATCCAGCATCAGAAGACTAATAGGTGGCTTTCACTCNTCCCTACTACAAGGACTTTCTGAGCTACCGTTCCTGCGCTGCCCGCACTCATGTACTTTCTGCGACCTTAACCAGTTACCAAACTGCCAAGATAACGTTTTTCGGACTAACCCCGCCGCTGCCAAATTATGTCCATTGCTGGACAAAGGCCTTCCCCAAGGATTCCATAGGAACCGGTTCTGCGCTGTTGTATTCCGATCCTTCCTGCGATTTTCACCACAGCAGAAGTACCCAGTAAAGTAATGTCCGTTGTTGCGCAAAGTACTAGTTTGGGATTAGATGACGCTAAAAATATCCAAAGTATCCCAATCCCAACTAATATTATAAATGCGAAAGTAACTCTGTCTGTCTGTCTGTCTGTCTGTCTGTCTGTCTGTCTGTTACGCTTTCCCGCTTAAACCTCGCAACCGATTTTGATGAAATTTGGCATAGAGATAGTTTGAGTCCCGGGAAAGAACATAGGATAGTTTTTATCCCGGTTTTTGAAACAGGGACGCGCGCGATAAAGTTTTTCTGTGACAGACAAAATTCCACGCGGGCGAAGCCGCGGGCGGAAAGCTAGTAAATAATAACTACTTATTTCATGACAATATTATTTCTTTCAAAATTTAAATGTTACCGCATTTATAACTTTCCCATTAGTGATACAAAAATAAAACCACTTATTGACTGATAAATATTTAAATAGGGAAAACAATCGTATCAATTGTAAATTATGTTTACCGATGACCCATTACTGATTAAATGCTTTACATAATACTGACATAATAATATACTTACTCGTAGTTTCGTAACATCTTTGGTGGGGTGCACTTTAGTTGCATTTGTTTATTTATTTATAGAGTTTGTTTATAAACTTGAAATGTTTTGCGATGTTTAAAATAAAGGTTTTTTTAAATTGTTTTGTGGACTAATACTGGACTTCAATATGAATAATAATCAAATGTTTGGTTTTTTGAGACGCTTTGTGGATGTGCTATTCGTGTGTTTATGTGGATTCATACTGTTGTTGTTTTATAAGGTAACATTTCTTCAATTCAATTTTAATTCAATTTTGTTACAACCCTAATCTAGAAAAATCTAAAGCTGGGTTGCACCCACCTACTTTAACTTTGACAAACGTCAAAAATCTGTCAAATTTCATACAAAAAACACCGGTTATCGTCACAGTTACGGTCAAAGTTAGGTGGTGCAACTCAGCCATAAAAAACCTCACGATTAGTGGTTAAAGATTTGGACTTTTTGTCTCGTAAATTCCGTAAAAGACAAAATAGTGTAAGGAGGCATTGTAATTTTTTATCCACATCGAGGAAGCTCTTGGCTTGCATCTCACCTGATGGAAACTGATGATCATGCCGAAGCTGGCAGCGAGCTTCACACGGAATCCTCAACCACAAAATTATAGATTAATTTTTAATATGAAGAATATAAGCAAGGGAATATTGCCAGCTTTGTTTATCCTCGTATTTCCTTTGGTATTATGTGGGCTGACATTATGCTCCTATTGCAGGTGATCCAGCTCTGGCAACGCAAACAGCTGAGGATGCGCCAAAACATGATCTTTGCCACCATCAAGGTGGTGAAGGGATGGGACTTCCCGCAGGTAAGCGAGTCACCCATTTTATGCTCTCGAACAAAAAACCAACTAGCTTAATTTCGTTTTTTTTTTAAATAGGTACATTTCTTTTTTATTGAAGATTTTCCGAGAGCATTATCTTTATGGTTCTACCTGTATTTTGGTTTAATTCGATTAAATCTGTCGGTCCTATGTAACTTTTAAATTAAAACTCTTCATATGGCCATGCAATACTTCGGGCACAATTTATCTGATGAGTTAAACGGGACTATTCTCACCTCTCGTTCTCACCGCTGCGATTCATGTATAGCCAGGATCTAAAGCTTGACTGCCAACAAAACCCAACTATTGAAGGTCAAGTTTGTCGAGGGAAAGTTAAACTGTCATTGGACCCGCAACGAAATTAACCAGAAGAACATAGTAGTTTTCTGATGGGTTGTTCTAAAATACTTCTATCTTCCACAGTTCGTAGCAATGGGCTCGGAACAGCGTCAAGCCATCCGGCGCGCTCTCAACGAAGACGCCGAGAAGTTGTTAGCAGAAGGCGACCCCGCCGACCCACAATTGCGGCGCTTACGCAGAGAGATCGATGACGTCAACCGCCTGTTCGACGAGTTCGAGAGGCGAGCTAGAGCTGAGGGTAAGTTCTCAAGATACTGACATATTACTTCGTAGATCTGATGGAGATTGTTCACAAGAGATTATTAAAATTCCTTAGCGATTAGAGTGGCTTCACAATCTAAATTTTAAATAAACAACTTGAAAAAATCGAACTGCCTAAGGCGGGAGTCGCCCGGCAAACGAAAGGTCGTAGGTTCGATTCCCGCCTTAGGCAATTCGATTTTTTCAAGTTGTTTATTTAAAATTCACAAGAGATGGCTACGGAACGTGAGACAGAAGAAAAAATGAAATTTATAGGTGATATCGTCACTATATCGCTGTGACGTGTGAGCAAAGAGAACTATGACGTCAACCACTTATTTGATGAGGTATAGGGAAGGGCTGGAGCTGAAGGTAAGATAGATACATAGTACCTGAAATCTAAGCAGATCTTTACTTTAGATTAAATGTACCAAGAGAAAATATGACATTTTCATATTATGCGTTTGATTTCAAATAAAGACTGTTATAGATCGTGTGTCGTATAACCTTTTCTAAACATACAATAATAAACACGCATCAAAGGATTAGGTATCATTCCTATTTCCTAGTAGCACTACAGGAATCAAATCAAAAGGTCAATTCACCAACGGACGTCGGCTTGTTAAAATACCAGCTATATCCAAGGAAATAATTTGACCGTCAGTTCCAGAGAGTTTCGTGTCCATTATTGGACAATAGTTTTTTCTATTGGACTAATTGGAAGATTGCAGTGCGCCAGTGTTTTTGGAACACATGGCGGTTATTAGGGTGTCCGTTGCATGCGGCCTTATTGCCAATTGCTTGTGTCTATCCCAATTTTAACAACGATTTATGTCTAGTGAATTACTTATTTGGATGCCTAGTATCCAGAAACAATAGCATCTATATGTCTGAATCTTCGATATGATCATAGATCAAAATCCAAATCGTACCTATACGAAAAGTTTGATAAGAGTCGAACCTCCAACAGCTAAAGTTGTGGTTTGATTTAATAAACTAACCACCAGGGCATGTGAGACCTTATAATTTAGACTTCCTTAATCCCAACTTTCTTGGATGTAACTGAAAATCTTAGTGGGAAAGTTAGTTACACATTTGAACAGAATAACAACTGTTGTGATATGTGACGCGAGCGTTTAAAATAACTCGTGGTCTTGTTTACTATCTCTGAATGGCCTTTATTGCATGTAAGTAGAGTCCATTATTGGACGAGTTATGGGTCAATTGTACAGTCGGCGGCTGAAGATACGCTGCCATTTAATGGTCAGTGCTGGAGCGATAGCGCAATTTATAGTGTGGGTGTACGTTGCACCTTGGCTATTTATACTAGGATGACATAATCTTGGTCAAATTATAAGAATATGATTATTTTTAATAGGCCAGAATTTCGAAATAATATATTGCATTATGCCGTTATAAATGAACCCTTATCAGCACTGTCAACTCGATAAATAATGGTCAGTAAGTTCAAAAGTAAATCTTATATAAGGTTATTCATAATACTATATAATTGACTTCAAAGGCACATAGCTTCACAAAACTTATGTGAAATCGATATTTAAATTAAAAAATACGTTCATTTGATTGATAGTTCCATCCAACTACATAGGTGCTAAATAAAATTTACTTTGCCCTATTAAAAAAATACCCAATTATTTCCATCACATTCTTGCAAGTATCAAGCGGTCATGGTCGCTGTATCTTCTTCGGTGACAAAGGACGCTAGTATGCCTATCGACGTCCTACGGGAGAGCTGTCAGTTACAATTAGATCCGCGTGCTCTACACTTATTACACACTCGTAGTAGTGAAACGAACTATTTGGTTTATACGGTGGTCATTTTTAAAGTTTTAAGTTATACGGCCAATATTACTGGCATTTGAAAAGATAGGACTCTATAAAATCGCCTGAAATATAATGAATTGTTTTTAATTCAGAAATCGAAAGTTGTTTTTGCTATTCTGTTGAGGCTTGTTTTTTATCAACGTAGAGTGTTGTAGTATGTTTTTGGCTTCCTCATTGTTGTAATTTGTAAACTGTGTTGTTTTGAATCATCATACCATAACGGCTTCCTTGTATTAAATTATTTTTGACTTCCATGAGTGCCAAAATACTGCTCAAAATGGAATAAATATTTTTGATTTGATTCGACTTACAAGTCAAATGGGAGCTAGTTGACCCCACACAGATTATTTTTTTATTGTTTGAATAACCTTATTGTTGTCTTATTAACTTAAGTACTTTTATTTTATTGCTGTCTGGCTTAATACTTAAGAGATATGGCAACAGTCATTTGTTTTTCTCTGGTCAATTTATTCACTTTTTTAGCGTTTAATTTTGGTTCAAAAGGATACATTTCGTCGCTTATGTGAATAAACAGTGAAATGACTAATTCCGTGGAGAAAACGTATTCGAAGAAGTTTCTTACCAATTTGTTAAATATAAATAGTGTATTGTGCTAGTGGACTTTATTGGGAAGTGATAAAGTGCTATTTGGTACAGCAATGAAGAAAATTAAGCGAATATTTTCTTTTGGGAAAGGTGGATCAGGTAATTTTAACACCATTTATTTTAGACATTTAATGGTAAAATAATTACATATTAAAGTTTTAAGACACGTTGTAATATCCCATTTTATTATGCTAAAATTAATAAGATATTTGAGTTTAAGCCATTTCCTATTTCCCTTCGGCAAAATATTAATAAATAGACAAACCTAAACTAAAATGAAATTTACACGCACCTAAAAATAATATACCTACCTACTCGTAAATCTAGATCTGATGTTGGCGTTACAATAGGTAATTAATTATTAATAGTTACAAATAAGAAAGTATAATGCGGAAAAAAGCTGTATACCTTAGTCATAATAAAAATAAGGTTCGTCTCAAAGTAAGTAGGTAAATATTTTAGAACCCAAAATACGAGTATCTTCAAAAAATATACAAAATTGTGAGTTTCAAGTGAAGCAATTGATGGGACTTTAATAGCAACCTTATTAGACAATGCTACCCTAATTGCCCTTGACATAAGACATGCAATAAACAATACATTACAACTGATTCCAAGTACACTTGACCTGTGATGGAACCACTAACGACATCTTAGATTCTTCCAATGTGTCATCATTGAATCTCCTGGTCATATCAGAGCTATTATGACTCTAGGGCTGCCAGACAAAAAACAAAAGTCAAAATTCCTTTATTTGTATGGACTGTAAAAAATAGTGCTTACAAATCGTCAAATATTAAATTAAAAAACTAGGAATAAAAAATCAAAGTTTTGCTCTTATGGAGCCTTCACATGTCTCATAATCTTTTTGGCCTACCAGCGTATTAAGCCAGGTACGTGTACCTATATTGACATCAACTTGGATTTTGGTATGTCACAGGAATATTATAGCGCGTTCAATGATAAAAGATACGATCTAAAACCATATCCACTACATTAAAGTTTTATATAAAACAAACTTTCATTCACAATTTGTTTGCGGCAAAGAAGTCTCTTCATTTAAATCCAGTCCGTTTATCTGCCCTAAATAGTTCAACGGTTGAAAACGTAAAAAAAGACCAAAAATGATATTTTTATTCGAGTTTCTAGGTAGGTACTCGACTGAAAAATACCCAAAATACTATCAAAAACCGAGAGAATTATCCTAACTTTTTATTTCAAACTTATTTGAAGGTCGTTAAGTTAAAGGTCGGCCGTTTGGTGTAGTGGTTCAGAACGGACTACTATGCCGAGAGGTCCCGGGTTCGATCCCCGGCCGGGCAGAAATTGAAATGATGAATTTTAATTTCTGTGACGGGTCTGGGTGTGACTATGTATAATATTTATGTATTAAAAAAAAAAGTATATAAGTAGTATACCCGTTAAGCTAGCACCCATAACACAAGCATTAAGTTGCTTACTTTGGGGCTAGCTGGCGCTGTGTGAAATTGTCCAAAGATTTATTTATTTATTTATTTATTTTTCTTACATTACATTATAAAACTGTCCAGTTGTGTCAATCAGCCCTAGATCCTCCATAATGGCTGCGCGCACGCACGTATTATGTAGTGTGCCTACGCGTGATGTCACTGCTCAATTACAAGGGCAATTTTTAGGTATTGACCCTCATTCGGTGGTTGCCATTAAATTTAAGGACATAGGAAGACGCCTACTATCGCATTTTTGTCTATGACGCCACCACAGATTAAGTTCGGAAAAACAAAATAGCATTGAAATAGAGCGAGACCATTATCCACGATTTACCTTTAAGGATTTACTATTATTTTACTGGAGGGAAGTCGAACCTTAACTACAAACTCCTCCTATGTTCTTCTGATTAATTTCGTTGCGGGTCCAATGTCAGTTTAACTTTCCCTCGGGACAAACTTGACCTTCACTGGTTGGGTTTTTATTTGACCGCCAATAAAAACCCAACCAGTGGAGCAGCTGTATAGTCCCGTATTATTTACAATCAATCAATCAATCAAGGATCAAGGTAAAGAAGTCTAGTTTATTACGCCAGGCAAGCGGAAAACTAAAAATTTATACTAAAATAATCATTTTCAATCATTGCATTAAAAATTGGCTTAGGCCTTTATTTTCTTTTATGGAGTTCGTGTAGTCTTTCGTAAAGATTTGGATACAAGAAACAGAACTTACGGCAACACGCCATACGTACTCTTCCTGAAAAAAATAACAAGCCAAATAAATGAATTACTGCGTAGGCGTACCTACCTAAATTTTAAAACTAGGTAGGTTAATAATTTTATTATGCAACTAAATTCACCCACGAGCTGTTAATGCCAAAGTCAAATTAATAACCCAATAATTGTTTGCACTAATAATTGTGCCAATCCCGCCTTTAATTGTGCGAAATTTATGTCCCACATTATGATCTCATGCCGTTTCAGAAAACATCCTAAATTTTATTGACCTTGGTTCTTTTCGCCCAGATTGACAGATTACATTGCAATGCCTTGACGTGTGGGTGGTGTCATATGCTAGAACTGACCAGTAGGTACACTAAACTATAGTATAAAACTACGCTACTAGTCCAGTCAATAAAGCATTATAGATGGAAAACTGTAGAACACAATTTCTGACTTCAGGACTTTATTTAGACTAGTTAGGAGGTGAACATAGCAAAAGTCCCCGCCCTTAGCCCTTGAGCCGGCGGGGAGAGGGGGGTTTAAAGGTGCCACTTATCGGTTTTTCGCTTAATCCTCGGAAACTATGCGTCCTAGTGACATGACTACTTTGAACCAAAAAAAGCATACCTATTCAATCTGCTACAGATGAGATAGACAAGTTTTTCTATAAATTGTATAGTTTTCGCGGCATCTGCTCTAGAAAGTCTGTAATATTGGAAATTATATTTATGAAATTTGAAGCTGATGTACATCTTGCAAGTCTCAATACATGAGCCAAATTTGAAGTGTTAATGCACAGTAGTTTTTGAATGATGAGGAGTCAAAAGTGGCTCTAATTGGTTCGTCTAAATATACACACGGTGCAGTCCCCTCCATGGAACTAGGCTTAACATGCTCCCGCATGTCTATAGTGTTTGCTCAATGTTGATTTAGTCGATTTTCTCCTGAAAGGAACATGTAAGACAACAATAAAATTTCCAATTTTACAGACCTTCTAGAGCAGATGCCGCAAAAACTATACAAGATGTAGAAAAACTTGACTGTCTCACCTGTAGCAAATTGAATAAGCTTTTTTTGGTTCATAGTGGTCATGTCACTAGGACGCATAGTTTCCGAGGATTAAGCGAAAAACCGAAAAGTGGTGCCTTTAAACCCCCCTCTCCCCGCCGGCTCAAGGGCTAAGGGCAGGGACTTTTGCTATGTTCACCACCTAACTAGGCTAAATAAATTCCCGAGGTCAGAAATTGTGTTCCATGGATTTCTCTCTACACCGTCGTTAAGGCATTCATTGACTGGACTATACGTACAAAAGTATGTTTTCAAACCTTCCTACCTATTTAAAGGCTGTGATGTGGATCATGAGAATCATCAACTCTGATGCACGATACAGGGCCAAAACAATGTAAAATTTAAACTTTGCATCATAAGGATTGAAATTGGTAATAATACGATACCTTGTACAATATTCATGTTAATTTAGGTACCACTTAGTTTCCTGTTCATGGATTTGCTGCCAGTAAGATGATTTTAAGTCAAATCTGCAGTTAAGTTTCATTTAAAATGAGATCTGCTGTTGACACCTGTTGATAAGTCTAGCATATTCGTGCATAATTTTCATAGGTGTTCTTTAGGCCTTTACGTTGCCAAGTACTTATATCTTAAATAAAATCTAATCCGGAAATAACGAAAACCTAGTATTTTCCGTTAGTATCGAATCCACTGAAATTGAAAGTATACTTAATTGAAAATAATTATCAACTGAACGTTAATAAATCACATAACTACAGTTAAAATCAGCGCAACGATCTCTCTTCATAAAGTTCATTGTGTAATTCGTTTCTTATAACTGTAACAGCGCAGTTAGATCTTATTTTATGGGCTAAAACTTTTGGCGGGACAGTCTACGCTTATTGATCGCCTTCAGACTGACGTAAGGCGGCGTGAACCTAGATGAAAGTCAGCCTGTGTACAAACTGAGCCCGTGCTTTGAGGTTATAAGATACGATGTAGATCTTACGAAAAAGTTTTAAGTATTTATTTTTTTATCTGGTGCTACTTGTCAGTTTTTTCAGCCAGTGTTCTGTTATTTGTTTTAAAAATTTAAATTATGATTTGGTCAACTGTTTACGAACAGTCTGTGTCTCCAGAATGTAGGACCCAATTTAGTTATATCACACTCAGTCAGCCGGGATGCTAGTATTTGGTCTCAGCTTAGTATATTTTGGTAGTTTAAATGTACAGCAAAGTTAGACTGGTTTTTCGGAGGCGAATCAGAGAAAGGACCACTATAGAATGGCGGTTATCAGGTGATTGTAATTACAGGTTCAATGTTTGTTTACAAGTTTCGTGATAAGACGTTTGTTATGATTTTTATTAAATGTTAATTTAGCTTTTAAAAACATACTTAGATTAAGTAATTGAATTCGGTTAAATGTAGTCATAAAATTGAAGGTCAAAACGTAATCGTGGACATTATTGGCAACTAAAAGGCATTGCCCTTGACATAAGTGCGAGTTATGTTTAGGTATTAAATTATTTCAAGTGATAACTTCGATATTACTGACACAAATTGTCTATGAAGTGCAAATTAAGCACGAATGCCTCTTTAACGTTTAGATTGTTTTTTTTAAGATTTAAGAGAGATAAAGTTTTAAGAGCAGATTCACATTACGTCCGATTAAATGCCGTCAAAATAGGCATTAACAAAACTCTGCAGGAATATGATGGAAATCCAAACTGATGCGTCATCAACATCATTTCAGCCACAGGACATCCACTGCTGAACATAGGCCTCCCCCAATGATTTCCACAATGGCCGGTTGGTAGCGCACTGCATCCAGCGCCTTCCTGCTACCTTTATGAGGCTTTATTTGATGCGTAAACTACCACAATAGTTCTACGACTACTCCAGGCCGTATTTTCCGACGTATTCCATTTAGAGCACCTGCCCAAATTGCACCTGGTCTATTCCACATAGAGCGCGTAATTTCCACAGATTGGATCGGACGTAGTGCGAAACAGCTCTAACTCTTAAAAATCCCTGAAAAACTTTAAAGAAAAAGAAAGAAAGAAACATTTTTTACGATGAACATCACTTAGTTAAGGACAGAGAACGTATACAGAAAAAAAAGACAGAAATAGCACATAACTTTATTGCATAGTAGTTACAAGAAATAACATAAGCATTTTCAATTACCCAGTACTAATAGCAGTTCCCTTTCGCAGAGGAATCCAAGAATGCCGCGCGCATCTTCACGGAGCAATCTTCGAACCTTCTGGAACGTCTGGACGTTCTGGAGAGGCAGCTGCACGAGAGAATCGCCAGCCATATCCCACGTGACCTGGACACGCTGGAACACCTGGTGCTCCAGCATAAGGACTGGGAGAGCAGCTTGCATTCCCTGTCGAGCGATGTGGAGGAGGTCCAGGCTACTTTCAGAGGTAAAATAGAAAGACACGGGTCTAAACGCGACGTTTATTAATGAGTTTGTGTACTCACGGCTTGACGTTTCGGCTGCGATGCTGCAGCCGTGGTCACAACTGGTCGCAGACTGGCGGCTCGCGGCGTCGTCCGTTCGGGCGGGCTTGAAAATTTTCAGAGGTATTGGGTCAAATCTTCTGTCTATTTAACTACCCTAAAGGGCTGGGATACGCGCCACGATAAGCTTTTATGGCGCCATTTTATCGATTTTATGCGACAAGCCCATACATTTGTCATCTAAAATCATCGTAAAGATTTTATCACCATGGGAATCGTAGCCCGGCTGGTGTCAGTATTTAGGTAGACAGCTCAAAGTTGCCAGAGGATCGCCAGACATATCCTTCGGGATCTGGACACGCTGGAACACCTGGTGCTCCAGCATAAGGACTGGGAGAGCAGCCTGCATTCGCTGTCGAGCGATGTGGAAGAGGTCCAGGCCACTTTCAGAAGTAAAATAGAAAGACACTGGTCTAAACGCGACGTTTATTAATGAGTTTGTGTACTCACGGCTTGACGTTTCGGCTGCGATGCTGCAGCTGTGGTCACAAGCAGACTGGCGTCGTCCGTTCAGGGGGGCTTGAAAATTTTCAGAGGAAATATTGGATCAAATCTTCTATCTATTTAACTACTCTAAAGGACTGGGATACGCGCCGCGATAAGCTTTTATGGCTCCATTTTATCGATTTTACGCGACAAGCCCATACATATGTCATCTAAAATAGTCGTAAAGATTTTATCACGGTGGGAATCATAGCTGGGCATTAACTCGTTAATCCGTTAATCGTTAATTAACGAAGTTAACATTTCTATTAACGGATTAACTTTTAAGTTAACTTTAAAAAATGTTAACGGACTCGTTAACTTCCGTTAAATTATCCTAAGTCCGTTAATCGTTAATCA